TTTTCTACGAAACGACCCCTGCGTAATCCCCTCCCCTCTGCTTCACGCCGTGCACCAGGTCTCGGCCTCTCTGCCCTGTGTTGGCCCTCCAGAGGAACTGGCTGGGCCCTGTGTGAGACAGGATGCCCAGTCTCCATGCAACACACACACACACAACTTTACACAGAGAGTGATTAAGATTAAATAGATTCATGGAGGATAAGTCTGTCAATGTCTACTAGCCATGGTGACTGAGAGGAACCTCCACATTCAGAGGCACTCGTCCTCTGAATCCCAGAGGTAGGAGGCAACATCAGGGGAAGGCCTCGGCCTCTATGCCCTGTGGTTGGCCCTCCAGAGGAAGTGGTTGGCCTCTGTGTGAGACGGGATGCTGGACTAGATGGATCTCTGGTGTCTGATCCAGCAGGGGTCTTCTGATGTTCTTATGGGCTGGATCCACTGGAGGGATTTCCCCCCCCCTCACATCAGCTTTCTGACTCCCCACCCCACTTCGCCCCTGAAGCAGCATTTCAGGATGTATTTGTGGCTGTAGAGGGACGGAGGAGGTAGGGAAGTCCTGTTCTGCAAATGGAAATCCCCTCTGTCCATAGAAATCGCCAGGAGACCCTTCATGTGAATGGAGGCTGGACTAGATGGACCTCTGGTGTCTGATCCTGCAGGGCTCTTCTGGTGTTCTTATGGGCTGGATCCACTGGAGGGATTTCTTCCCCCCCCCTCACATCAGCTCTCTGACTCCCCACCCCACTTCGTCCCTGAAGCAGCATTTCAGGGTGTATTTGTGGCTGTAGAAGGAGGGAGGAGGGAGGGAAGTCCTGTTCGGCAAATGGAAATCCCTTCTGCCCGTAGAAATCGCCAGGAGACCCTTCAGGCGAGTGGCGACTAAAGAATCAAATAAATAAGTAACTAGATAGATTACATCTCCACTGGATCCAAGCCTGTGTTTCACATCCTTGTCTCCCAACCTGAAACATTCGTCTGATAACGAAAAGTGGCTTAAGCTCGTGCCAGCAGCAACACAATGCGGCGTCTGTAGTTGCAACCTTTTAGATACGTGGGATGTGTTCAATTGATTGCTTGTTATCACTGATGAATCTCATGTGCGTCCTTAATGCGAGCTCTGTTGTTCGGAGAACGAATCCCGACGTGAATGTTCGTCTGGGAGATTTATCTGAGCTGTCTTTGTAGGAAGCCGTGCAAGTATTGATCAAGCATTCAGCGGATGTCAACGCCCGGGACAAGAACTGGCAGACGCCCCTGCACGTCGCCGCCGCAAATAAAGCCGTCAAGTGTGCCGAAGTGATCATCCCGCTCCTGAGCAGCGTCAACGTTTCCGACAGAGGGGGTCGGACGGCCCTGCACCACGCCGCCCTCAATGGCCATGTTGAAGTGAGTGATCGATGGGGACACCCCCAGAGGTTTCCTGGAGAGCCAGGCTTGGTATTAGCCCTGATCCGCTGCCAGAATGGTCAGTCTTCAGTTTAGCGGGAGGTTGTAGAAAGATATGGCTGCGGTGGCTCAAGTGGTTAAGACGCTGAGCTGCGGACCGGAAGGTCAGTAGTTTGGCAGTTCAAGACCCGAGTGCCGCATGGATGGGGCGAGCTCCCGTCTCTGGCCCCAGCTCCTGCCAACCTAGCCGTTCGAAAGCAAGAAACTGCAAGCATATAAATAGGTACCGCTTCGGTGGGAAGGTAACAGCGCTCCGTGCGCCTCGGCGTCTAGTCATGCCGGCCACATGACCACAGAAATGTCTTTGGACAGCGCTGGCTCTTCGGCTTGGAGACGGAGATGAGCACCGCATCCCTAGAGTTGGATTCGACTGGCCTCCGGGCAAGGGAAACCTTTACCTGTAGAAACATATGACTTTGCATGAGAGATACCAATTGCATGCCTTCTAAGTGTACGCAATATAGGAGAATGTTTGAGTTACACTCGTTGAACCCCCTTACTCGAGATTAGATGCGTCTAGAGCACTGACCTGAATGGCCCAAGCTAGTCTAATCTCGTTAGACCTGGGTCAGCCCTGTTTTTTATGACGATGATGATGATGATGATGATGACTGTGGCGAAATGGGGACCCGCCCTCAGCCCTGGGAGACTGAGGTGCCGTCCTGTGGCTCGCAAGCCCGTTTTGGCCTTCTCACCCTGCCTGGTGGGACAATTTCTCTTCGTTAAACGCTGCCACCACTCACTGAATTGAGTTACCGCCTTCCTTGAGGGACAGTAAGACCCCTCTGGCTAAATCCCCCACCTTGGGAAGTGGGCACCTCGATCTTTGGGCGCCCCCTGGAGAGTTGGCAACCACTCAGATTTAGGCCCCGTGGTTAAGGCACACCAGGCTTTTTAAACTCAAAAAAGGAAGATTTATTTAACTATATACGTATTGGGCACAGAAAATAAACACAGGCACTTCAACGCAACCGGGGCACAGAAAATAAACCAGATGAAAACGCAATTCCTCTGTCCCTACCCCCACACACCCTCTCTATCCCTGTAGTGGATTGTGGCCTCAGGCCCGGATTTGCGTTTCCCCCTCCTGTTGTGGAGAGAAACTCCAGCCCTCCTCCTCCTCCTTGGGACTGGCCACCAGCACTGCCACCCTCCTGGCTCTCCACCACGGTCAATAGTGGATCCATTCTTTTAATATTCTGTTCCATTGTTCAATTTTTTTTTTCATCGATCCCAAAGGCAGTGTTTGGAATAGGTACATTAACTTTGGTACCCAAAACATTTTTTTTATTTCCCTCTCCTAAAAAGGAGAGAATTTTTGCTTTTACAATTCAAGAAATTAGGAAGGGTATATAGAGGGATAAAGAAAAGTGTTGGGTGATGTTAGATATTAGTATGTTAATCTTTTAGTATTAAAGTTAAAGTCAGTAGCATCTTCTGTGGTTGGACGATCTTCTTTTCTTCTGAATTCTGTGAAATCGAGCAATTAACACGTTAGTAAAGTCCTTTTGGGATTAGTATTTAGCATTTACTGTAAGGCGCTGCTCGAGCTAGTCCTCAAACCTGGGGTATTTCCATTTTTTGTCCCTTAAGTTGTATTTTGGGCCAGTCACTCCTTTGGGTTCCCCGTCTTTCACCTCTCCCTCCGAGCTGCTTTCTTCTCCGCTAGCTCCCGACATCCACTTCGCAAGTTCTGTCTCCTCTTCTGCACTGGCGTGCCTCTTCAAAAAGTCTTGAGCCTTAAAGATAGAGTCTATCTTTTCTTTTCTGTCTTTAAACTTAAAGACCATTCCTTCTGGCACCAACCATCTGTAACTAATTTGATGACTTTGTAAGAATATGGTCAGTCCTTTATATTCCTTTCTCTTCATTCTGATTTCAAATGGAACATCTTTCAAAATTCTAATCGGCTGATCTCCAATTTTCATGGGTATCACTGATACTGCCTTTAGTATCTGGTCTCGGAGACGTTGCTTGGTAAATTTCACTACCTCTTCCGCTGGCTGCTTATTCTTCTTTGTAAAGTTGGAATAGGCTCTGTAGGCCAAATCCATCTCTTCTTTTATTTTTTCCGCTTCGCTGCCGGTCAGTGGTGCCAAAGCTGTCGCCAAAATGTCTCTGAGATCCTCCTTTTCCTCTTCTTTCAACCCTTGAAATCGAAGAGTCAAATTTGACTTCTCCATTTGAAGCAATAATAATTTATTGTCCTGTTTCTCTTGATGTTTTTCCACTTTGAAGACCTTCTTCTTAACTTTCTGTATTTCTTCTGTTGAGGCCAGACATTTCTTTGCAATATCATCTACCTTATCAGCTGTCTCTGTCATTTTCTTCTGTTGAACACTGTAGGCACTTTTCATGCTATCCAGTTTTTGATTGATTTTTTGTAGTTCCTCCAGCAGATGGCGCAAAAGATCACCTTCTTGTTGATTGACAGCAGTCCCAGCAAGGGAAGGGCTTGGACAGGAAGTCCCGCCTGTCTTCTTTATCTGCTTGTCCAGCAACTTTTTCTGCCCCGCCATTTTCCACTTTTGTTTACAGTTTAAAAGTTCGTGCAATGCCGCTTAGGGATGCCTCCCTCTTCACCGCTTCCAGCTCCCTCCCAAAAGGTAATGCGCTTAAACCAGTCTTCACTTCGCCCCCCCTTCTCCGCTTTTAAAAAGTCTCTTTCTCCGGTGGGGTGGGAATCCTCCCTCCTCCCTCTCGCTCTCCCAGGGGACGGAGCACGCTTATGCCGCCACTTTAAATTAATTGCCAACTCACAGTTATTTGCTTAGCTTATTTTTCTTGGCTTTACTTTAACACTTCATCACTCCGCTGTTCCGGTGGCGTTGCTAGTCCCCATATGGGGCACGACACAGCCGGGGCCATTTGGGGTAAAGGGAGAGCCTCAATTCCCGACCTTCTGGCCCCCTAAGGGATTGCCATAAGTCAGCTGCAACTTGAGGACTCGTGTGTGTGTGTGTGTGTGTGTGTGTGTGTGTGTGTGTAAAATGTGTGTGTATCTATATATCTGTATCTACTGATGGGTGGAGGATGTGGCTGAGTGGTAGAGCACATGTTTGTGTGCAGAATGGCTGCTGTCCAGACCTGGGTCTCTGCAGTCAAAGAATCTCAGGTCAATATGCACCGGGAAAGACTTCTTTCTGTCTGGGAGCTATGGCCAGTCAGATTAGACAATACTGAGCTAGATGGACCAATAGTCTGACTCTGTACAAATCACTTTCCTGTGCTCATATACTATCAGCAAATCACGTGTTGTTCCACAGTTCTTTTATACCCAAGTAATGTTGCTGCGGTGGCTCAAGTGGTTAAGACGCTGAACTGCAGGCTGTGGAAGGTCAGTAGTTCAGCAGTTCAAGGCCCAAGTTGCCGCATGACGGAGTGAGCTCCCGTCTCTAGTTCCAGCTCCTGCCAACCTAGCAGTTCGAAAGCAAGAAATTGCAAGTAGTTAAATAGTGGTACCACTTTGGTGGGAAGGGAACAGCGTTCCGTGCGCCTTGGTGTTTAGTCATGCCGGCCACATGACCACGGAAACGTCTTCGGACAGCGCTGGCTCTCTGGCTTTGAAATGGAGATGAGCACCGCAACCCTAGAGTCGGACTCGACTGGCTTTCGAGCAAGGGAAACCTTTACCTTTACCTTAATGTTGCCCTACAAATACCTAGCTGAGAGGCCAGCTTGGATGACCTCTGTCAACGCTTACAAAGACTGACATGTGTTTGGGGTTTCTGTTTTTTTGTTGGCTTGCTCCAGATGGTGAACTTGCTTTTGGCGAAAGGGGCCAACATTAATGCCTTTGACAAAAAGGATCGGAGAGCCTTGCACTGGGCGGCTTACATGGGTAAGAGCGTCTTCTTTTTTTAAAAAAATATGCAGATTGTTACCAGGCATCGCAAGAAGTTGTAAAGGCTGGGAACCAATGCTCCCTCTACGCTGTGGAGTCTTGTGAGCAAAAATCCTCCTTTGTGAGCTAATGGCATTACAGCTGTGAGTGAGCGATTTGGCTGCTGCATAAATTAGTTTGCTCTGGAACCCTCTTTCCTGAGCGAAGACGCTTGGGAATGACCGGCTCCCCCTAGTGTGAACCAGAGGCTAAAAAACTGTGAGCTAGCTCACACTAACTCAGCTTAGAGGGAACACTGCTGGGAACCATTCCGTAGGTCTGTCATACCCCGAAAACCTTGTTCTCTGAGGTGCTGCTCGGTACAAATTTAAATCTGGAAGTTCATGGCTCAAACGGGTCAGGAGCAGTGTTCCCTCTAAGCTTTGGAATCTTGTGAGCAAACATTCTATTTTTGTGAGCTACTGGCATTAAAAGTTGTGAGTGAGCGATTTGGCTGCTGCATAAATGAGTTTGGAGCCCTCCTTCCTGAGCCAAGACAAAAATGTGTGAGCCGGAGGCTAAGAAACCATGAGCTAACTCACACTAACTCAGCTTAGAGGGAACACAGGAGCCGGAACCAGAGGGGGCGCCCTGACACTGGGCCTGTGAGCATTGGAAAGGCGGGGCTGGAGGGTGGGGCCGCAGTCCACCAATGGGCATGAGATGAGGAGGACACAGGGCTCGGCCACGGTGCAGCTGCAGGGCTGGGTTCCCTCAGGGCAGCAGAAGTGATTGGCCAGCTGGTAACACTGGGGCAGCAACCAAAGGCGTCCCTCCAAAGTGGGCTAATTGGGGTGAGGCCAGGGAGGAAGGCGGAGCTCCACTGGCCACTAGGGGGAGCTGGTAATTCCTAAGCGTCTTCCAGGGATGGGCGGCGACACGTGGGGTTGGCCCACCCCATGAACCAGAGAAAGGTGGAGGATCCTGCTGGGACTGTGAGGAGCTATTTAAGCTCTTCCAGCCCACAGCCAAGGAGAACACTGTCCCCACAGAGAGAAGGGCGGGAGAGTGAAATGAGATAAGGATGGACATATGGAGCAAGAGGTCCATGAGTGGCTATTAGCCACAAGGGCTAGATGGAAGACTCTGCCCTGGTGCAAGGGATGCTGTTTGTACGTGGTGCTTGGGGAGCAACAGTGGGAGGACTTCTGGGGTTCTGGCCCTGCTGGTGAACCTCCTGAGGGGCCCTGTGTTTTGGCCCCTGTGTGACACAGAGTATTGGCCTGGATTGGCCATTGGCCTGATCCAACATGGCTTCTCTTATGTTCTTATGAGAGTCCTGTTGGGAGACGGTGAGTCAGGGTAAAGATTCAACCCCTTTCCTTCTAAGTCTGAGGCCTCTTCAGGGGAGGAGAGTGAACTCCGTATACCCTCTGATAGCCTCATCTCAGACAAGGTGGATGTTTGACACCTTCACTCAACAACCCGCCAACCATGTATCATTGGACAGTCTTCCCTTCGTGCCGCTAGCTCCAGCCAGTCTCCTCGCACCTGTGTACACACCCATAACCACCTTGTGTCAATAAGAAATATACGCCCATTGCCTCTGAACTCCTGAACACCAGAAGATAATCTGAAATTTGTAGGTTTCTTTGGACACAAATCCAGTGATTTTGTTCAAACCATCAATATTCCCTCACAGGTGGGCAGGTCTCAGGCTGACGTTCTCCCGGAAATTTGTCCGCTGGGCAGTTTGGACACCTGCTGATAGCACAGATACTTGGGAAAAACCCATAGATTATGCCTAAAACCCTAAGACAGTTTTAGAGAACCAGTTTGGTGTAGTGGTTAAGTGCACAGACTCTAATTTGGGAGAACTGGGTTTGATTCAGCACTCCTCCACTTGCACCTGGCTGGATGACCTTGGGCAAGCCATAGTTCTGTCAGAGCTGTTCTTGAAAAAAGAGCAGTTTCTGTCAAGAGCTCTCTCAGCCCCACCTACCTCACAGGGTGTCTGTTGTGAGGAGGGGAAGGGAAAGGAGTTTGTAAGCCACTCTAAGACTCCCTCGGGTAGTGAAGGGCAGGGTATAAATCCAATCCCTTCTTCTCTTGTAAGACGTCCTTTGTAAAAATTAAACCACGCAGAAAAACCGCAGAGATTCTGCTAAAGATGTAAGGAGAATCAGCAGACGGAAATTTCGCCCTCTTTAGAATGTTTGGAACGAACCGGCTTGTAATGTCGTCAGCGTTTCTGACCCCACAACGAAACGCCACGTGCTTGAAAGAGAATTTGCACAATACATAGAGTTCAAGCATACGATTGTTCTTTCTCTTTTCTAAGGCCACTTGGAAGTGGTTGCCTTGCTGATCAGCCACGGCGCTGAGGTGACCTCGAAGGACAAGAAGGGCTACACGCCACTCCACGCCGCAGCGTCCAACGGCCAGATCAGCGTCGTGAAGCACCTCCTCAACCTCGGGGTGGAGGTGAGAAGCAAGGGGGGGAGAGCGTCTTTAACGAGCCCCACGATTCTTTTCTTCCCCTCGTAATTCCTTCTCGTCGCGTCTCTCTGTCTGCTATGAAATTAGATTTTCAGTGCCTTTAAAGAAAATTATTCTTTCGTTGGCAGGGTTTATGGAGGAACCTATTTCCGCCGTCTCAGTTATTGATTATCTCATTCTTTTTCGGCCGTGAGACTTAGAGACGACGGCTGTTGCGAGTGACAGATTTAGGTGTGGTTGTCTTGGCTTCCCCTTCCCGCCCAGCTAGAAATGCGTTCGGAATGGAGAATGCCAGGCAGAGGTGCCATTAAAACCTATGATATCATGTCTACCAGTTTTTCTTTTTGAAAGTGAAGATAACTCCCCAAGTTGCTAGGCGGGCTTTTTCGTATTTTACAATGTCCCTCCCCCCAGGGATTTCCAGGTTCCACTGACCACCAGCGGAGGATGGGGTGGGGGGGTTTAGGGTGGCCAAATCCAGGTTGGGAAACCCCCGGAGATTTGGGGATGGAGTCTAGGGGAGGGCAGGGACCTCAGTGGGGTACATAATGCCACAGAGCCCACCCTCCAAAGCAGCCATTTTCTCCAGGGGAGCTGATACGGTGGCCAGATCCAGGTCAGGAAACTCCTGGGGATTTGGGGGTGGAGCCCGGGGAGGACGAGGACCTCAATGGGCCACAATGCCTTACAGCCCACCCTCCCAAAACATCCATTCCTTACAGGTAGGCTTGCCAAGTCCCCCCGGGGGGCGAGGGAACCCCCTCCCCAGAGGCCCGTTCCCCG